TCCACAGGGCAGGCAGACCCTCCAGGGGTGACCCGGGATGGTCCAGATTCCATTCTAAGCCTTCGGAGACACCTTCACGGACACACACGTCTGAACTTCCTGTGTGGGTCCCCCCAGGTGCAGCCGGTTGAGCCAGGGCACGCAGGGTGCGGGGCGAGGAGGAGCAGGCTGCCCGCCCTGCCGCCCCACAGACCTGTCCCCGTCCACGTCCCTCTAGCTCGTGGCCATCATCTCAGAGGCCTCCAGCTCCGGTATCTCCCTCCAAGCCGACCGCCGGGTACCGAACCAACGGCGCCGGGTGCACATGACGCTGGAGCTGCCCTGGAGTGCCGACCGGGCCATCCAGCAGTTTGGTGAGCCCCGCCCCGCCCCAGGCCGCCCCACCCCGGGGCGTGCCTGGTCCCTAAAAGCCCTCTCTGCCTCCAGGCCGGACCCACCGCTCCAACCAGGTCTCCGCGCCCGAGTACATCTTCCTCATCTCAGAGCTGGCCGGGGAGCGCAGGTTTGCCTCCATCGTGGCCAAGAGGCTGGAGAGCCTGGTGAGCCTGTGGGCGGAGGGGGGGGCTGGGTGTGGGACTGGGCGGGGAGGCTCCCTGGGGAGGGCGGAGGGCGCAGGGAGGAGCACCAGGTGGGCAACGTGTGACCGCTTCCCCCATCCCGGGCAGGGGGCTCTGACCCACGGGGACCGCCGAGCCACCGAGTCCCGTGACCTGAGCAAGTACAACTTTGAGAACAAGGTACCCGAGGTGGGAGAGCCCAGGAGAGGAGGGTCCTCGGGGTGCCAGGACCCCGAGACCTGGGGTGCCCCAGCCTCTGACGCGGCCCGCGGCCCTCACCCCTCCCCACAGTACGGCGCCCGGGCGCTCAGCTGCGTCCTCACCACCATCCTAAGCCAGACAGAGAGCAAGGTGCCGCTGCCCCAGGGCTACCCTGGAGGGGACGCCGCCTTCTTCCGTGGTGAGTTGGTGGACCCTCCCCACACCGCAGGGGGACACGGGTCATGAGGGGGAGGCCCCGTGGGCTGGGGCGGGCAGGCGTGCGAGGCTCTCCCTCCCCACAGACATGAAGCAGGGGCTGCTGTCCGTCGGCATCGGCGGGCGCGAGTCCCGGTCCGGCTGCCTGGACGTGGAGAAGGGTGAGTCCCATGCCCCCGGCCCCGCACCTCCCGGGTGGGTGGACGGGGGGGCCGGCTGGACGCAGCCTGAGGCCCCCTGTCACCAGCAGACTGCTCCATCAGCAAGTTCCTCAACCGCATCCTGGGGCTGGAGGTGCACAAGCAGAACACGCTCTTCCAGTACTTCTCCGACACCTTCGACCACCTCATCGCCGCCGACAAGAAGGAGGGCAAATACGACATGGGCATCCTGGGTGAGCCCCGCTGGGGATGCCCTTCCTCCCGGGCCCGGGCCCCCAGACCAGCCACTGACCCCACTTGCCCTCCCCAGATCTTGCCCCTGGCATTGACGAGATCTACGAGGAGAGCCAGCAGGTGTTCCTGGCCCCCGGGCACCCGCAGGATGGGCAGGTGGTCTTCTACAAGGTGAGCGGCTGCACCCGCCCGCCCCGCCCCCCCCCCCCCCCCCCCCCCCCCCCCTGATGCCTGCGTGTCCGCAGATCAGCGTGGACCGCGGCCTGAAGTGGGAGGAGGCCTATGCCCGGTCGCTGGAGCTGATGGGCACCCACGACGGCTTCTACCTCTCCTACAAGGTGGGCCCCCCAGCAAGCCCCCGGCGCACCCCCACGGGCAGGACCCTGGCTGGTGGGCCGGGAGGGGAGGGCGGCGGGCTGCGCGGGTCCGCACACTGTGGGGACCCCTGCCCAGCACGTGCGGCGCAGCCCCAGCCTCACGCACGCCCCCACCCAGGTCCGCGGCAACAAGCCCAGCTGCCTGCTGGCCCAGCAGAACCGCGGCAAGCTCTTCACCGTGTACAAGCCCAACATCGGGCGGCAGAGCCAGCTGGAGACCTTAGACAGCCTGTGCCGGAGGTTTCACCGGGTAGGCCCCGACGGCCCCGCAGTGCGCCCCCACTGTGCCCCTGGCGCGCCCGTCTTCTGCAGCCCCCAGGCTGGCCCTCCATCTCCATGCTCCGCTGCCCTGGCCGCCAGGTGCAGGATGAGCGGGCCTGGGGCCTTCGGACCTCCTGTTCCCCACCTGCGCGCTGGGGGGCATGGACAGGCCGCGGTCCAGGGGCTCAACCGGCTGTGTCCACAGGTGACAGCGGAGGAGGCCAGAGAGCACTGGGAGAGCAGCTACACCTTCTCGCTGACTCACTGCAGCCACACCACATGGTGAGGGCCCAGGGCAGCCTGGGGGGGGGGGGGGGGGGGGGGTGGGGGGGGGCTCGCCCACGCCCATGCCGCAGCTGGTCTGAGCCGTGGTCCCCGCGCAGGAACCGGCACTGCCGGCTGGTGCAGGAGGGCAAGGACTGCGCGCAGGGCCTGAGGCTGCGACACCACTACATGCTGTGCGGGGCCCTGCTGCGCGTGTGGGGTCGCATCGCCGCCGTCATGGCCGATGTCACCAGCAGCAGCTACCTGCAGATCGTGCGCCTCAAGACCAAGGACAAGAAGAAGCAAGTTGGTGAGCGGTGGGCGCAGGCGGGGTTGGGGAGGGGGGTGTCCCGCCGGGAGGGGGCGCCCCGCCCCGCCCCGCCCCTCGGGCCCTGACCGCCAGCCCCGCCCCCACCCCGCAGGCATCAAGATCCCCGAGGCCTGTGTGCGCCGCGTCCTGCAGGAGCTGCAGCTCATGGACGCCGATGTGAAGCGCAAGCAGGCGCGCGCCCAGGGTCTCCCCGCGCTGCCGCCCGCCCCACGCCCGCTCGCGCTGCCCTGCGGCCCTGGCGAGGTCCTGGACCTCACGTACAGTCCGCCGGCCCAGGCCTTCCCGCCGCCCTCGCCCTTCGCCTTCCCGGCCCCGGCCCCCGGCCCCGGCGGCCTGCTGCTGGGTGTCCCCGACGCCCCGGCTGACCCCGCGGCGCTCCTGCACCAGGGTTGCGACATCAACTTCAAGGAGGTGCTGGAGGATATGCTGCGCTCCCTCAATGCCGCGCCGCCCCCTGAGCCCCCCGGCCTGCTGGGCGCCGGCGGGGGGGCAGCAGGCGCGCAGGAGGGCAGCGGGGGCGCCGAGCGGCAGAGCGTCATCCAGTTCAGCCCCCCCTTCCCCAACTCCTAGGCCCCGGGGCATCCTTCCCGCACGAAACTTATTTATCTATAATAGGCGCCCTGTCTACACCGGGGAAGCGGGTGGTGAGCAGGGCCAACAGCCCTGCGGACTACTGAGAGGAGCAGGCAGGGCCCGGAGCCCTTTGAGGCGGGGCCAGGGTCCCTTCCTCCGGCCTCCCGAGGCCTCCACTGCAGTGCCTTCCCACCGGTGCCTGGGCAGACGCTCGAGACACTGCCGGCCCTGGGGGTGCCCTCCAAGCCCTGCCTGGTGGGCAGTGGCCATGCGCAGGCCCCACTCAGGACACTCAGGGGCCAGGCAGGGCCTGGGGGTGGGGGGCCTCCTCTGTGCCTCTGTCCTCTGCTGCCCCCTTCCAGGCCGGGGTTGGGGCTCCCACCCCACCCACCTTACCAGGCCCGGTCAGCCCTGAAATCCACAAAACTGGGTGGCCCCAAGAGCTGGAAACTCAGGAAACCCCAGGTGCTCAGGGCCCCACCGCCTCTGGGGGGCTCCGTGGGGCAGATCTTCTATTAATATATGCAACCCCCTCCCTGCTCTCTGTGCCCTAAATTATTGCCCAGCCACCTCTCCCAGGGCCTGGAATCTCCTGCGGAGCTGGTGGGTGGCCCCCTGGTTTCTATGTGTATTTATAATGAATTCAAGTGTATATATGTAAAGAGATCTTTTTTAAATATATGTGCCTTTTCACTACTTCCCAGGCTGTCTGCTGCTCTGGCCTGCAGGAACGGCGGGGAGGGGCCGTACGGTGGTCTGGGGAGGCTGCTGGCGCTCCCTCTGCTGCCTCACGCCACCCACAGCGCCTGGCCTTCTGGATGACCGGGGCCAGGCTCGGGGAGACACCCGCCCCAGGAGGCTGTTTGTCCGCTGCGTGGTCCTGGCACCAGGATAGCGGGCCAGCTGCCTCTGCACTGGCCGTACCAGGCCCCAGGCGTCTTGGAGCAGACACTGCTGCCTCCTGCCCACCGAGACGTGAGCCGCCTGGGCTCGTTCAGAACCCCGTGTTCAGGACTGCGGGCTCTGCCTTGGTTTCTTTCCAGGTCTTCCTCGGGGTGTTTGTTGGTTGAGGCAGGCGGGGCAGCCTGGGGACAGGAGAGCCCAAGAGCTGGGCCCAGTCGGGAAGGCAGGACTGGACGCCAGGCCCTTCCTGGAAGCTGTGGGGAGCATGCCCGGCCTCTGGCCCGGAAATGGGAGGGGGCTGCCCCCAGCCAGGAGGCGGACTGGTGGGTGGGAGTCGGGAGACCCTGGTAGAAGCAGACCCTGGTAGAAGCAGGCCCTGGTAGAGCGGCTCAGCCACTCTACAGCTGTTGCCCCCACAACTCTCACCAGGATGGCTCTCCTGAGGTGGAGGCAGGTAGGCTGTGCCCACCAGCCTTCCTGGGGGGGCTCTCTCTGCCAGGTGAAGCCCGTGGGCAGGCCTGGTGCAGACTCCGCGTCCTCACCGCGAGGCGGGCTTGGTGCCCAGCTGGGCCCAACGCCCAGCTCAGGTGCAATGGGCCTCCAGTAGGCAGGCCCACAAGGCCCAGGTCGCCTGACCCTCCCACCTGGGTACACTGGAGGAGACCGAGGCCCCCCGCGGGCCTAGAGCAGTGGGCCAGTCAGGAGGCAGCATCTCCGCCAGGATCAGCTCTGCCCTGGCTGGGCTGAGGAGATTAGCAGCTGGGGCAGCAGGGCAGGTGCAGCCCTCTGAACCCCGAGGGAACTCCACCTCCCACATCCCCCGCCCCCCAGCCTGGGGAGCTGACTACACCTGCACCTGAGCCCAGAGGGGCCTGGGACAAGACACCCCCCACCCCCCAAGTAAGCAAAAGCAACAAGCAAGTCAATTTGTATTGTGTGTTTTATTCCCACAAGGCAGCAGGGGGTGGGGTTGCCGAGCCGTGAGCCGGGCCGAGGAACCTTCCTCCGGCAGGGGTGCACGCCGGGTTCTCGGGTCTGCCCCACCAGGGGCTGGTTTTCAGGCAGACCATCATGGACGCCGGGTGGAAGGCTCCGAGGGGCACAGGCGGCAGGCTCGGGTCGGGGGAGCACACTTGTGGAGCTAGAGGTAGCACGGCAGGTCCTTCTCTATCACCTGCGGGGGAAAGGGGGTCAGGGGCGCCTCTTCCCAGGGCCCTCCCGGGCAGGCTCCCCAACAGACACCTACCAGGGGCTCTTCCATGGGACCGTACCGCTTCACCACACAGCCGTTCTTGTCAATGAGGAACTGCGGAGGAGGCCGTGTCAGGACCCGAGGCCACCATGGGGCTGGGGCGAGCCAGCAGTCCCCATGCACCGCCCCATTTAGGTCAGGGCCAGGGACCCTCAAAGCAGCCCAGCTGTGGCTGGGTCTGTCCCCGTCCCCCAGGCCCCCAGCATGCCTTACCTTGGTGAAGTTCCATTTGATGGCACTAGAAAAGAAGCGTGAGATCGTGAGGAATCCCGTGGCAGCTGCAGACCCCCCATTGCCCCTGGAGAGCCATCCTGACCCCCCCCCCGCTCCCCGCCTCGGCCCCCAACTCACTTTCCCAGCATGCCCCTCCCCTTGGGCTGGACTTTCATCCACTTCCACAGTGGGTGGGCATCATCCCCATTCACACAGATCTTGCTGAACATGTCGAATTTGACGTTATGGCCAGCAGCGAACTCTTTGATCTCGGCGTTACTCCCTGGCTCCTGTACAGACAGGGGTGCTGGGGTGAGTAGGGAGGAGCCTGTACCCCTTTGGCTCCCGCTTCCACAGAGAGTCTCTCTCCCCACGCCTGCACACAGGGACACAGGGACATCCAGGGCCAGGTATGACGCACCTGCTTCCCGAACTGGTTGCAAGGGAAGGCCAGGATCCGTAAACCACGCTCAGCGAATCGGGCGTGCAGGTCGACCAGCTGAGTGTAGTTTACCTCCGTCTTGCCTCATTGCGAGGCCACATTGGTGATGATGCACACGTAGTCCCTGGAGGCAGGACAAGGCGGTCAGGTCATGGCCGCGACCTTCCCCCTGCTCCCTCCACCAAGTGGGCAGGTACCCACCGGTACTTGTCCAGGTTAACCATGTGCCCGTCGATGTCCTTAGCTGAGAATTCGTGCATGGAGCGAGCACTGCGCCAGTCGTCGCGGGACGTGCACTGCAAGACAAGGGCATAACGAGTGGCCGGCGGACCTCGGGGCCTGGAGCCCGCGGCCGCCCGGCTCGCTCGCCCAGCTCGCTCGCCCAGCTCGCCGAGGGAGGAAAACCGGAGTCCTGGGGCAAGTAAAAGGGGAGGCTCCACCTCCTCAAAGGCGCACGCTCCCCTTCACAGCAGGGCACATTTGACCGTAGACACTGAGACCCAGGAAGTGTTCGGAACCCCGCCAGGTACCCCAGCGCGTGGGGACGCCGCCCGCGGGTGTGGGGGCCCCGCGCGCACCAGGTCTTGGGACTCGCTGCCGCAGCCTCTTTTCCCGGCCGCGGGCCCCACCTGCCCAGGGCTCTTGGGAGTCGGCGGAAGCCGGGGGCGCGCCCTCCTGCGACAGCACTTTCGAGCCCTCCGCCTCCGGGGGGCTCGGCGCCGCCGCCCGGCCAGCAACCGGCGCCGCTGCCTGCGACGACCCGGGGAGCCGGCGGCTGCGCGGCCCATGCCCGCCAGTCTCCGGCCGCACCTGTGCCCACCGAGCGCCGCGCCCAGGGGACAAAGGGTCGGTAGCCAAGGGCGCTGGGCCGCTCCTCTGTGACGCCACCGCGCGGGGCCCCGGGGCGCTTAGGGCGGGGGAGGGGCAGTGACGCCCCGTGGCGCGTGATCCCGGATTTCCACCCCGTCGGACACCCCCGCTCTCCGGGCCGCAGGCGGGGCTCCAGTGGCCAACGACGCCTCCCCCAGCTGTCCCGACGCTGCAGCTTCTGTGCGTCTGGGACGCCCACCCGGGGGTCCCGACCGCCCAGCCCTGTCCCTGGTTCCCCACCGAGACTCGGACCGTGACCCCGGCCCGCGCGCTACCCACGGCCCCGACGGCCGCGGACGGGGCGCCGAGCGCTGTCCGCGCGCCCGAGGCCGGCGCCCCACGTCCAAGGTCGCCGCGGCCCCGCGCGCCGTAAGGCAGGCCGCGCGCCCGCCCAACGGCCAGTGGCGCCGCGCTCACCATGGTGCTGGCCAGGCCGGGCACGGCCAGGGCCCCGCAAAGAAGCGTCGGCTTCAGCAGACGACACAGGCGGTTGAAACTCATCGCGGCGGCAGCGGGGGCTCCCCGGGAGGCAGCGCTCCTCCCCTCGCCGAGCCGACCAATGGACGCGCGCCGGCGCGCCTCGCCTCCCTGCCCTAGACCACGCCTTCCAGCGCCCTCATTGGTTGGATGCGTCGGCTCTGCATACGCGTGCCTGCGCCAGCCAATACGGGGCCGGGGGGGGCTGGCTGGGCGGGGCCGGGGCCCGACGGCGGTTTTCGTCGCTGTGACTGCGCATGCTCATCGGCGGGCGGGTGGCAACGTAGACGCCAGCGGTGCGGTGAAGGCTTGCGAACAGTTATCTGCACTGAAGGATGCCCGACAACTTGAGATACTACTGGAAACCCATGGCGGGGGGGAGGGGGAGGGGTGGGGGAGGGGTGGGTGGGCTGGCTCGAACTCTCAGAAAACTCGCCCCAGCTCATTGAAAACTGTTTTTTTGTTTTGGTTTTTTTGGGGGTTTTTTTGCGGTACGCGGGCCTCCCACTGTTGTGGCCTCTCCCGTTGCGGAGCACAGGCTCCGGACGCGCAGGCTCAGCGGACATAGGTCTAGCCGCTCCGCGGCATGTGGGATCTTCCCGGACCGGGGCACGAACCCGTGTCTCCTGCATCGGCAGGCGGACTCTCAACCACTGCGCCACCAGGGAAGCCCGTGGTTTTTGTTTTTAATGTAAATAAAACCACGCTGGGTGTCGGAGACCTCCCCACTCGGGCTGCGGTGTCGCTGCGAGGGCCTGGGGGTCACCTAAGGCGACAGCCCCGGATGGTGGCGTCCCTGCTGCAGGGTGCGCCGTCAGCACAGAGCCGAGTGTCCCCGCCCTTGGACACCGCCGCCTTAGCTGCTTATATAAGTGACACGTGAGCCCTGGGGAGGGCCGTTAGCAGTTTACCCTGTGGTCCCGCCCCCCTTTCTCCTGGAGGACGCGCAGGTGTGTGCTTTGCAAGGAAAGCGCCAGCCCAGAGGGATCTGTTGTCATTTGCAACGTGACACAGCGTGCGGTTCGGGTTGGGGCTCCCGCTGGCTTGGTTCCAAGCTCATTTCCACTCGAGGCTCAGGCGTTTGGCCACCGCCCAGACCCACCCCATTCTCTGGACCTGAGTCACAGAATTCCACACCGGCCTGGCTGCCCCCACCCCCAGCCGTGGCTGGACGTTGACCTGCGGCCAGGAGGGTGTTGTGCTGCCCGTGAACTTCTCTCTCCTTCTTGGACTCTCCCGGTGAACGTTTCTGCAGAGGCCTTGGGGGCAGGACTTTCGGGGCTGGGGTCCTTTGGGGGAGAAAATGAGCCCCCTCCCTCTGCCCCAACCCAGGCCAACCCAGGGCTTAGACGGCCGAGTTTGGTGGCAAAGGGGACAGGATCCCCGGGACCAGGTTGCTACATTCCTTCCTTGCCCAATAGCCTTCACGTGCTTCTCCCTCTCAGCCTGGTCACGAGGGACCGGCGACTTCTGAAGTTGTTTCTTGGCTGGGAGCTCCCATTATCTCAACTGGGTGCCTCACTTCTCAGGAAACCCCCCCCTCACTTCCGCCCCCTGGCAGCACTGGGTGTCAGGCCACCCTGGTGAGTCTGAGTGGCCCTTGGGAAGCCTCAGCTGTTCCCAGTTTCCCTTCAGCTGGTATCTGTAACTTTGTCGTGAAGATGGCCACCGGCTGGCTAATTACTTGAGGGTTTCCAGAAAAACAGCTCAGGGCGACCTTCCCTCCCCTTGGAGCCCACCAAGGGGGAGAGATGGAGCAAGGCCTCAGCCCATTCCTGACTTCAGGCCAGTTAAAATAAGAGCAGAACTGGGCAGGATGAGCTGCCCACTGTGGTCCCACTTGCTCTGAGATTTGTGCCTGGGTTTCACCGCTTTTCCACACTTTCCCCACTTTACAGAGGAGCAGTGGAATCCTGGGGAAGTCTCAAGGCTCCAGCGAGGCTCCCCTGTGGTGACCAAAGTGCCTGTGTCCCCCAGTGGGGACGCTGAGTTGCTTACCAGCCAGAGGCCTTTCCGGAACCAGGGCCAGATTTCTTCTTAGAAAAAAAAATGTTTTTAATTGAGTTAAAATCCACATAACATAAATTCACCATTTTAACCAAAGTGTACAATTAAGTCATTTCTAGTATATTCACAACGTTGTGGAACCATCACCACTATCTAATTCTAGAACATTCTCATCACCCCAGAAAGAAACCCCATCCGCATTTGTAGTCAACCCCCCAGCCCCCGGCCCCCACCGTCTACCTCCTGTCTCTATGAATTTGACTTCTCTAGGGACCTCATATGAGTGGAATCAGACAGTACTTCACTTTCTGTGACTGGCTTATATCATTCAGCACCCCAAAAAGTAACCCCCTGTCCCCATTACCAGTCTCCTCCAGCCCCCTCCCCCAGCCCCTGACAACCATGAATCCACTCTTTGTGGATTTGCCTGCTCTAGACGTTTCACATCATGTACTGTGTGGCCTCTTGCGTCTGGTGTCTCTCACTGAACATCACGTCTCCAGGGTTCATCCACGTTATAGTGTGAGTCAGTGCTTCTCTCCTTTTCATGCGGAGTAATATCCTATTATCTGAATGGACCATATTGCGTTTATCCGTTTGTCCATTGATGGGTTGTTCCACCTTTTGGCTTTGTAACGCTGTACAAGTTTTTGTGTGGGCGTATGTGTTCGTTTCTGCTGGGTATGCACCTCAGAGTGGAACTGCCGGGTCACATGGTAACTCTGTGTAACTATCTGAGGATCTGCCAGACTTCCCCACAGCCGCTGGTCCATCTCACATCCCCACTCAGGAGTGTGAGGGTAGTGGCCTGATTTCTTTCTTTTTTCTGATTTCTTTTTTGTTTAAACATTTATTTTATTGAAGTATAGTTGATTTACAAAGTTGTGTTAATTTCTGCTGTACAGCAAAGTGATTCAGTTATACATATATAACTTCTTTTAAAATGTTATTTATTTTATTTATTTATTTATGGCTGCATTGGGTCCTGGTTGGTGTGCGCAGGTTTTCTCTAGTTGTGGCGAGCAGGGGCTACTCTTCGTTGCGGTGTGTGGGCTTCTCAGTGCAGTGGCTTCTCTTGTTGCGGAGCACGGGCTCTAGGCACGGGCTGCAGTAGTTGTGGCATGCAGGCTCAGTAGTTGTGGCGCACGGGCTTAGTTGCTCCGTGGCATGTGGGATCTTCCCAGACCAGGGCTCGAACCTGTGTCCCCTGCACTGGCGGGATTCTTAACCACTGCACCACCAGGGAAGCCCAGTGGCCTGATTTCTGAACCTTGGGCTCTGCCAGTTGGGCTGCATGGTGGCGAGGTTCCAAGGAGAAAGTTGCCACTCCATGTGCTGTTGCTGAGGCCACACCGTCACAGGCAGGATTCTGAGTCATGGGCCTTGGGGTTGGGCCCGCCTGCTACTGTGAGCCCTTTCTCCTCTCTCTTCCCTGCCCCCAAGAACAGCAAGGCTACCTAATGTCCCCTGTCACTCGCACCTGGGCCCTCCGCCCTTACCATCTAGGCCACCCTCTGGATCCTCCAGCAGTTCTGCCCCCTCCCCCACCCAGATTTGCCCATCACCTAGGCAGACACCCTTTGTCCTGTCTTAAACCCACTCTGGACCCTCTCCCTGTTCCCCTTGCTACATCCACATCTCCAATATCTTTCCTCTCATAAATGCCTCCCCCAGCCGGGCCCCATCCTTGGATCTGCCCTCTGCGGTCACAAACAGTGTCCCCTTGGCCAATCCCCTGCTCAATCCTCAGATCCGCTTTGACGGCTGCTCTGTCCCTCCTCCTTCCAACAGCTGCTTCACTGGGCTCCTGGACACCTGGCTTCCACCCACCCTCTATTTTTTTTTTAATGTTTATTTACTTATTTATATTTGGTTGCGTTGGGTCTTGTTGCTGTGCCTGGGCTTTCTCTAGTTGCAGCGAGCGGGGGCTACTCTTGTTGCAGTGCGCGGGCTTCTCATCGTGGTGGCTTCTCTTGCTGCGGAGCATGGGCTCTAGACGCACGGGCTTCAGTATTTGTGGCTCACGGGCTCTAGGGCTCAGGCTCAGCAGATGGGGTGCACGGGCTTAGTTGCTCGAACCTGTGTCCCTGTGTTGGCAGGCGGATTCTTAACCACTGCACTGCCAGGGAAGTCCCTCTATTCTTTTTAAGAAGCACTTATGCATTGCCAGCGCTGCAATCATCAGCCACGTACCTATGCAGTGGGCGCTGTTCTTGTCCCTGTTCTACAAGTTGGGGGGGACATCGAGGCACAGAGAGGTTAAGTAATGTGCCCGGGTCACACAGTCAGGACTGGAGCCCAGGTGGCCACACCCCTCTACCTTCTGCTCTTTCCTCCCCTCCTCCTGGCCTCTGAACAAAGTAGGCAAGCCTCGCGCCTAGCCTCCGATCTGCTCAGTGATCTCATCCAGGCTCCCAGCTCCTGTCTCCACTGTACACCCACAACACCG